GGACTTAATGCACAGTACCGCCAATATTGAAGCGTTTCCCTGGAAACCATTATTAATGATGTTGTGAACACATCATTATGTGGTGAAAACCGCCATCGAGAATTAATGTATTTGACAGTGTTACCTCTTCCCGAGGCTAGAGCGTAAACTCACTGTAAAGGTCCAGTTTCCATATTTTTACAGTCAGTTCACTCCCTTGCCTCGGGAAGATGAGTTATGGCACTTTTTAAAATTATCCAGCTCCTTCCCAGCGCGTGACACCTTCGTTACACTCTCGGTAACATCGCTGACACCAGCGTGGGCGCGGCCATTTCAAGAATCTTGAAATTTGGCCTCTAACCCCAAATGTAGAAACGTTCATACTTTTGTTTATGTCTTTGAGAATGCCATCAAAGTGAATTTTGAAAAGGTTTACGACTGACCATGTTTTCCAGATGAATTTACTTTGTTGTTTGTATAATCAGATTGGTTCGAGATTGCAGACTAACGGAAAATCAACCAACTTCTCCCTTACATTCTTATAAATATCAACAACATGATAGTTTTAATGAAATAGAAATTCAAATTGACAAACAAAGAAAGTAATTTAGCAGGGGTCAGTGTATTCGGCGTCACGGCAATCCTCACTTGTTTGTAAACATAACGGTCATTTTGTTGCGAGTTAACCCTCTGGATGCCGAGTTTTTTTTCTGACGCACATTTTCCTAAGATCGGAAAAGTGAAGGTTGTGCGAGAATTGCGCTCACGCGGCACTGGATCTACCTCTGGCTATAAACTTACGCAGAGGTGGAGAATATTAAATTTCCTATTTGATGGTGTTAAGTTAACTGCAAATATTAAACCGGTTTTAAAGAAATACGCTTCTAAGTGTTGTCCGAGAATTTATTCTGCGTTGAAAAACAGTAAATTTCTCCGCTTTTTATCGTAAATCGATAAAAGTACTGTGCGACGATTTTTTTTATTTCGAAGCTTTACGGAAACTGTCAGCGAACAAAATACTGCCTAATATCTGAACGACATAACTATATATCAAATGGAGTTATATGCGTATGTGTAACGACATACATTCAATGCCAAAAATAGCATGCCGTAAATGACGAAAACTGATTTTTCTCTATGACGTCAAAAGGCGACCGAGAGGTTACATGCGTACAAAGAAAAGGGGGCATAAATCCGCTATGCTGAGCACTAGGTTATTGTAACTCAGGTCAATTGGTGAGAATTAGCTGTTGGTAAGGACAATGTATTTTCGTTGTGTTTCGTTCACGAGGAACCAAACTATTCCAACACAAATATCGATATTGAAACTGTATACGTTTTCTTATAAATAAAACCCACAAGAAATGATGAAATCGTACTTCATAAAAAAGAGGTAAATAGAGAAATGGATGGCCCTACCTAACCTATAACTTAGTCCTTATATTCCAACATTCTCCTGAGTGTGTAAGTGTAATTTGACTTATGGTGCACCATTATTAATGGAGCACTAGCTTTATCATCAAATGTAATGAAATATCCCAAAATAACACCATTCCTTTTGACGTCATGGCTGGTTTTATGTCTTTGATAACGTCGGAGAAAGACGACACTGGTATTTTGATTTATATATATCTCCCATAATTTTCGTTCATGGTTTGGAATTTGACGCTTTTTCGACACAACATAAAATTACTGCTTTCACCAAGTAAATAATGTCTTGAATATGTAAACAATTAGATAGTTTATCGTGTATCTTAATTGGACAGGACACGCACCTGTTTGGCATCAATTTACGTTATGAAATTCACAAAAGAATATTTCAAAACAACCAAAATTATATTCAGTATTGGACATATATTTGTTCATTATCATGTTAGTATTTCTCTTCATCTCGTCTCAGAATGGAACAATAAAAGATGCGAAGAAAGCACTATCATATTGGTATAGAATTATCAGGCTAATCGTATAAGGTTGAACAAACGGGGTACCTGGCATGGATTTTATTTTATAAATTTTAAAAATTTCTGGAGAAATTAAGTCAACAGTTTAATATCCCGTGATCACAATATTGAAAAAAGAATGAACCCATTGATTATATAATGCAAAACGAGAAGAATAATTCGTAAAATGTGTGTGACTAACGCGCACCTAGCGAATCGTTAGATATCACTGTTCTGTGTATCAAACGACATCAAAAACAGTTCCAAGACCAAGACAGTTCTTTCAGAAATGTGTGCATATATTTACCGAATTTGTTTTGTAAAAGTAATATATTCAGTTTTAGTTATAAAATAAAATGAAACGGCTATTCATGGACATTGCTAATATGAACTTATAATATTGACTATTGCACATCCCAAGAAATGCGTACATGCTGCAGTTACATTTACACTTCTTGTAACACTTGTCCAAAGGAAAGAAATATCGTATGCGACACTAAAAACCTATCAATTGTTATGTAAACAATGTTCAAACAAACAGGAGATTATCAAGGTTCCTTCATACATGTTGTGGCCGATATTTACGTATGATATCATTTTGAACATTGACAAATGTCCAAAGTGAAATTAGAATCTAATTGTGTGAAAAAATGTATAAAATATATGCAAAATCTGCATCATAACTGAAACTGTAAACAGCATGGTACAATGATCGTGTGCACTCTCATTCAAAGACCTTCACCTCAAAGAAATTACCAAATATGTACAACAATGTTGACGTATGACATCACTACCTGTGACCTACTTTTACAAAATGGCGTGTTCACTGTCAACAGTACGCGGGATTTTACGAGGGGACTTTCGTTGATTCAGGGATTGTATTTACATAAATGTGACATGTAAGTAATCAGAAACATTCTGACAATCTATGTACTGTTATTTGTTGTTATAATTTTCATTGGAACAAACCGAAATAGTCAGAAATTCCGATAAATACCGTTGTCGTTGTGCGTGATTTTGCGTCAGTCATGGCGTCACACAGGACGGTAACTTTGCAATGATTTGATATTTTCAACAGAAGTTGTCAATGTATCTATTTTAAATTCCCTATTTCTTCCTACGATTCTCTTCCCATGACTATTCTGCAAATGTTGAGCCAATATTTTGAACGAATAGACGAATGGATAGCTCAAAATAGGAGAAAATGCTACAGTGTGTAAAATCTGTATTTTGCTTTGTTTACACTTCAAACAAGTGCAGTGTTTCGAGCACAGCGTTCGTTTTCACACCTGACTTATATTGCTTGATTTCATCCAGCCACTTCGTATTGGTGACAAAGACCATTGTTCATTCGATTCTAAAATGTATGAGGAATTCAAGGATGTGTGTATCGCAGCAAAGTTTGGAATATACGGGATGTTTCAGGCGCTTCATAACCGGTGTACCTGAAACGTGATTTTGTAAACACTATCCAATATGGCGGAAAGTTCACTTCGGCGTTCGTGTTTGCGTATTTTCCGAAACATTCTAAACGATTCTAGGGTTATCGGAGACGTTTTTGAATGATCATTGGTGATTTCATAAAGGACAGATACCCGTGATCACTAATATGCTATTTTTGAAATTCATTTCTCCGAGTAAATATCCGAAATTTAGATTCCAGAACATGCTGTAAATAACGCGGCGAGTGGTGATTTAGTAATGTGTAAAACATGGCGACATTTACGAAGTACCTAATTTTCATGGTCATTTTTTGTACTTTTGCTTGGCCTAAAAAGCAAATGAATAATATCACAGAACAGGGAATCTCCCACCTTATTCAAAACTGTGATGTGTATTAGTGTGCATGATGTATGTTGAATTTTATTCGACTTCAAAGTGAGGGTTGTAGAGGAAGGACATATATGTCCCTCTGGCATCCAGGGGGTTAAACTCCAAGCATGGTTGGGGCCACCTATCATAGCGGGGAATTTTGACTGGTGGCAGCGATGGTACAAAGAGCTCCGTGAACGGGCTATCGCTGCGAGGAGCTAGTACAATTATGTTTGCATTTGGCCAAATGAAGGTAAGGTGATCGTTTCAAAACACAACTAATACATTTTCTAATATAATTTAAATATTATCTCCTGAAATACCCTTGGATTTTCAGGAATAATTGAAATTTGTTATCTGTTTTTCCATGGGAACACGTTCAAGAGATTTTGTTTCCAGTGTAAACCTTTCCTTATTTCTCTCTGAAACCTTTGCAAATGTGTTTGGCTAGTTTTCACAGAAACTTGCAAAGATAGCGGAGTTATGGATGACGACTGCCGTCTTGTTGTACTTCCGATGTTTAAAGAATGAATAAAATGGACTGTCCGACACATACAGATATTGATAGTAAGGTTGCGATACTATACGTGATGCGATACATATATCGATAGGTCGCGAAACGATACTTATATCGATAGCATGATACGATACATATCGATAGTAAGGTCACGATACGATAGTCGATGCGATATATATTCGCGATACGATACATCTATCCATAGTAGGGTCACAGTATGATATTTATATCGATAGGTCGAGATACGATACAGGGGAACGCGACACTTGACATCTTAAGACAACATTTTCATCATCAATGGAATGAAGAGTAGCCTAACCAAAATGATTGAATGAAAGAATGAATGAATGAATGAATGATAGTAAGGTCGCGATACTATACGTGATGCGATACATATATCGATAGGTCGCGAAACGATACTTATATCGTGAGCATATCACGATACATATATATCGATTGTAAGGTCGCGATACGAGAGACTATGCGATATATATATCGATACTAAGGCGGCGATGCTATACGTGATGCGATACATATATCGATATCGATGTGCATATGTGCATGCAGGCAGAATATAATAATTTTCAGTGAGTAAATGAATGAATGAATGTATATTCCTACCATTCACCACGTCATGATTATATATACTTGTGTCGTTTTGTATCAATACATAAGCTACCGATATGATGCGTGCCGAACAGTGTATCGAGATGCACCGGACGTCACACGACGATTAATAAGCATATTCTCTTTTCCAGACCCAATTACTGTGGGGGTTGCGATGCTGAATGGTTCGTCGGCAACACTCGGGTGTTCACCTGTGGAGCATTATAACCACGGTATGACATTAATAACGCCATAATGTTACATCAGATGTGATCCTAGTCTTGTCTTTCTACGTTTCCCATGGTCGTGAAATAATCTCACAACCTTCCAGTAAGTCAGTGAGCGGTTAGGAGATGTTGTAGAACCGTGGAATCGAGTTGGAAGAACCGTTTGTGCAGGGACCTTAATTACGCAGTTATCTGAAGGTTAAAGTTCATATTGTCACCCTAAAACGATGAGAGGACACGCATGGCCCAGTTAGCTGTGGCTTAGCAGAGTTGCGTCCCTTTGGCATGCCAGAAACCTATGACCATAGGTTCGAACTCACTCATTTATGAGGCAAGGCAACTCGCCACAAGTGTGTTGGTACTGTGAGACATTCATTTTACTGTTCTGGGCCCTGTTCCACAAAGCCATCTTACCGCTAAGGTGATTGTAACTTCCATACTTTAACACTGGCTTAAGATAGCCCTAGCGCTGAGACCGCTTCGTGGAACGGTGCTCTGCTTTATCCACGTTGATAAAGATTAATGTCAGACCTCGGTTTGTTGGAGTAACGAACACACGAGCCTGATTAATGTTCGCATGTGATAACATCAAGAACAAAATTGTAATGATTTGATATTATATTTCAATAGTGACTGAATGGGACATAGATGTGTGGTGACAAATAAACATAGTTCAGTTGAGAGCAAATCTAAAATATGATTTTAGTAAAACAAATATCTAGGTTTCAAAATGATTGTCGTGAAACCTCTAGTGTCTCGATATGTTTAAGACATAACTTTCTGTACCCGCATATGTATTGATAACTCTAAATATATCATTGGTACTTTTTTCTTTCTTTTGGGGGCATGGGTGGCCCAGTCGTCTAAGGCGCCGCGATTCGCTGTGCAGAGTTGCGTCTCTTGGGCACGCCAGAAACCTATGATTGTGGGTTCGAATCCCGGTTTGCCCCGATTATGGTTCTAGGTTTGTCAGCACCATACCCGTGCTCGTGGGTTTCACCGAAGTGGTAAACGTCTGAGACCTGCATCACTTGGGGCTTTCCTCCCACATTAAGCTGACACGCCGTGATATAACTGGAATACTGTTAAAAGCGGCGTTAAACCCAACTCACTCACTCACTCACTTTCTTTCTTTTCGCAAACGCCAGGTGTCATCACTGATTTCCAGTGCTCCATTCATATATTGTTCACAGTTATGTTGCCCATTTCGGGGGATAATATAATCAAGACTTCCGCAACCATTTCCTTCCGTTGTTGTTTTACTTTTACCAACTTACATGGATTGCCTCATTAATAACAAACACTTACCAGCTTAAAAATATTGATGTTCTTGTCCTTATTTGTTTCAGGGTAAACTGAAGCTCGGAGGAAATCAATGTTATCCATTCCAACATCTTGTTTCCCTCAAACTGGTTTGTTCCCTAGTCTGTAACAGAAATACAATCTGGTTATCATTTGACATTCCTGAGCTATTCCTTCAGACAGAATAACAACCGAAAACATTCTTTGTCACAATCCTCGGCATTTTGCAACATTATAATCGGGGGGCGGCGCGGTCGGGTAGCCTATTGGTTAAAGCGTTCGCTCGTCACGCCGAAGACCCGGGTTCGATTCCCGACATGGGTACAATGTGTGAGGCCCATTTCTGGTGTCCTCCGCCGTGATGTTGCTGGAATATTGCTAAAAGCGGCGTAAAACCATACTCACTCACTCAACATTATAATCCATTCTCGTGGTTTCACCAAACCTGTGCTCGTGGGTTTTACCAAATACGTTCTCTTAGGTTTTACTAAAAAAGGTTCTCTTGGGTTTTACGAAACCCTGTGTTAGTGGGTTTCACAAAAACCTGTGCTCGCCGTCTTTAAACCCAGGATGTATTCGAGTGGACAATGTGTCTGTGCAGTGACTTTCAGTGAGCTTACTGGTAATTCTTATAACCCATGCATTTCGTCATGTATAAGAAGTAGGTCTTTTGTTTGGTTTGTCCTATTTACTCTGTACAAAACACGATTTTCAAACAATATGTGTAATCAAATGTTTTTTTAAAAAATAATTATATATCAACCAAGCAGCACGCTTGGTGTACTTGTACGTGTAAACTGTAAGTGTTCGCCTCTGTGAATGTACATTTTCATTTGTTTTATACACTCATGTATCTTTTAACGAAATAAACAAGTCTATGTTTCTTTGAATTTGCCTTGCTTACTTGTACATAGCAAATGAGTTCCGTGAAGATCCGGGTTGAAATTATAGTCTTTAGCAACTCATGCTTGTCGTAAGAGGCGACTAACGGATCGGGTGGTCAGGCTGGCTGACTTGATTTTATGCATTCCATCGTATCCCAATTGCGTGGATCGATGCTCATGATGTCAATCACTGGATTGTCTGGTCCAAATTCGATTATTTCCAAACCGCCGTCATATAGCTGGAATAGCAGCTAACAAACAAACAACCATTGCAAATGGAATGTTATGACTTTAGGTGTCAGCATTCTCACGTGAACTCTCAAACTTCGCAATATCTAATAAAGGGTAGGGGTGTTATACCAGTATAATCTAGTGTCCTTGCAGGGGTGTTCGATTCCCAACAAGGAAACCATGTGTGCACCCTATTGTTGGTTTCCTCGGGGCTTGTTGCCTTTGTAAGAATTCTTGCGAGTAAATTTTGGTTGAACGTCGCTTGAACTGTTACAGTATTTAAGTTGTATCACAATCTCATTAAAATCAGATCTTGGTTTTCGCTACCGCTAAACACAGATCTGAGGACATCCCATTACGGGTCACGGTCTGTACGGCTGATCCCCTAAAAATGATCGCTTCAGTTGGATCAACATTTAAACGGAAGAGACTTTGCATAGCCCGATGAATTTTGATAATTTCTCCAAATGGCTGCAGGAAAACTGAACCTCTAATATTCCACTAACTTGGCACCAAGTCAGTCATTTTTTTTATAGACAACGCACCATATCATTGCAAGTGGATACATGTCTAACAGCCGCTAACAGAAAGGATGAAAAAAAAGTAGCCTAGTGGTTACAGCGTTCGCTCGTCACGCCGAAGACCCGGGTTCGATTCCCGACATGGGTACAATGTGTGAAACCCATATCTGGTGTCCCCCGCCGTGAAATTGCTGGAATATTGCTAAAAGCGGCGTAAAACCATACTCACTCACTTAGCATGGTGTGACCATGCCCGGTGTGTGGAAGATGGCTACAGGCAACAAGAAATGGCGGTTGAAAGAGAAATGGACAGCATCATTGTCGAACTTGGTCTGACGAGTGGATCAAATACAGGAATCGCATCAGGACCTGAATAATAGTGCTATGATTATCCAGTTCTTTAATATAAATCGGGGTGGTCGGGTAGCTTGGTGGTTAAAGCGTTCACTCATCACGCCGAAGACCCGAGTTCGATTCCCGACATGGGTACAATGTGTGAAACCCATTTCTGGTGTCCCCCGTCGTGATATTGCTGGAATATTGTCCAGAATGGGTTTGTACAAGAATTAGAGTTATCCCCCAACCCTGCGCCGTGAAATATACTTGAAATATTGTCCAAAGCGACGTTAAACCCAACTCACTCACTCTCGTAAATAACAAATACAGATTATGTTCCATAGCTGGTTTGTACACCAGCGATAAGGACATAAAACACTTGTGTTTCCTGTTTATTTCGCCAACACATGCCACTCAGTTACAACAGCTGTCCTGTAATGGATAAACCGGATACATACATATATAAACAAGTCCACGTACACAGCGAGAACACATCTGTCGCCTTGTTTGTAGAACGTGTTAATGGTGAACTAGTTTAACTCCAGCCAAAAAAGTAATGAATTTGAAAAAAATAAACTGCCGGGTAAAAGAAGCTACAGTAAACTACGGTTATAACGAACTTCAAGGGACCACTAATTTTAGTTCGGTATAACCGTAGTTTACTGTAGCTTTCTTTTGCCCGGCAGTTTTTTCTTTATCGAATTCATTTCTTTATTCGTTATAAGCATATATACAGCAAATGGCCGGGAATAAAAAAAAACAATAATATCCGTAATATCCGTCAGTTCGTTGTTAGCATGTTCGATATGTCCGATGGTGGCTTAACATGAAACAAACAAGTACCGTATTCGACGTAATAAGCGCCCAGGGCGCTCTCAAAATTAGAAATAGGGTGCTCTGATTAGAATATTATTTTGGTGAAAAAAAACAGAGTTGAAAGATAAATTTCATGGTTATGCTCACAGCCTGAAATGTTTATGTACGACAGATATATTTTTCCAGAATTTTATTGCCCATATTTAAGGGTGCATATAGCACACGAGTGCGTATTATACGCGAATAAATTAGTCTTGTGTACATTGATTAATCGGAAGGGGTGCTAATTGGGATTGTTCACCAGCCAATATATCAGCAAATGTCACCGTGGGCGCTTATTAGAGCGGGGCGCTTATTACGTCGAATACGGTAATAGTTAATTGATGGTGATATGTTTTATACGGGTATCATTGTCGTGTTTTGGATCTCAAGTTTGCAGTGTTTCGACGAGTGTTCTCAGCCAAGTAACGTTTGTAAGTTTTTGGTCAAATCCAAATTTCAAGTTGTATCTCTGGTTCCCTCACAGACAACAGACCACCAAGTCTGTTTGTTTGTTTTTTTAAAGCCGCACTCAGCAATATTCCAGCTGTATGACGGCGGTATGTAAAAAATCGAGTCTGAACCAGACAATCCAGTGATTGACATCATGAGCATCGATCTGCGCAATTGGGATACGATGACATGCATCAACCAAGTCACCAAACCTGACCACCCGATGCCGTTAGTCGCCTCTTATGGCAGGCATAGTGCCTCTTATGACTAGCATGGGTCGCTGAAGACATGTTCTAACCCCTATCCTCACGGTTATACCACCAAGCCCATATATGGGTTCTATGTTAATAAGGGACAGACTATTTGTCATTGATATTCTTGGTAAGGGTTGGGGAATTTTGCATAGAGGGTAGATATTTTTTCAGTTACATCTGCTAAACCAAATATATTTTCATTAAAAATATACGCCTAAATATATTTTCAACAAAAATAAAATCTTGCTACAATATCTTTTTCGTAGCTGACAATTTCTTTTACTTATTGAAGTCTGGAGCATGATTATTTTTTTCAATTATTTTTCGGGGACAATTTTTTTTTCAACAAAATCCCTGTCCCCTACAGCAACCGAGGATAAAAAAAAGCCTCCCTATTTTTATACAAAAACTTTACAATATAAAAAGTTAGAGTCGTTTTATTAGTCATACATAATTCATAACATATTTAACTTTGGTAAGTATGGCTTCAGGCCAGGTTTTGCATTGCCTTTATTGATAGTCCATGACAGCGACAGAATCAGACCAATCAAAGCACCGAAAGAATAATCAAAGACAAAAAAACCCGATTCATTACTGACTAGCCTGCCATCAGGACAAAGCGCCCGATGTCGCACGACAGCCGCAGGGTGTGTGAAACTATGTTAATGACGCAAATCCAGCACGTGAAGAACAAGCAACACCATCTGTCTCTGTATAAAGTCTGCACACGCACAGAAATCGTGTAACAGCGCTTGGTTTGGAAAATATTGGCGAAAGCAGGAAATATGAAGACCGTCGCTATACTTATGCTTGCACTGTTCACTTTGGTGGCAGGTAGGTGCTGTATAAGAAATACAGAGTGAATGAGTGAGCTGGGTTTAACGCCGCTTTTAACAGTATTCCAGTTATATCACGGCGTGTCAGCTTAATGTGGGGGGAAAGCCCCAAGTGATGCTGGCCTCAGACGTTTACCACTTCGGTGAAACCCACGAGCACGGGTATGGTGCTGACAAACCTAGAAACATAATCGGGGCGAACTGGGATTCGAACCCACAATCATAGGTTTCTGGCATGCCCAAGGGACGCAACTCTGCACAGCGAATCGCGGCGCCTTAGACAACTGGGCCACCCGTGCCCCCAGAACTAGAGATATTTGCTCGCCCAAAGACTGCTTTTCAAGACAGAATATGTAAAGTTTGTAAATAACCCCACCTTTCTCTTAAATGTTAACCATGGGAATCTATATCTATATCTCTATATATGCATCTTGTTATTTTATACATATTTGAATATATGAGCTGTGTGTGTCATAGACCTTGTGGCAGACATTGTATACTTTTAATTATTGAATATTTGTATTGTCACACTTGTGTTTTACTCTGTGTGACACTTTAATACGAAAAAGATAACTTTGATCCAGAGGATCAACACGGCACGAAGAAATGTTGTAGCATAGCTTCCTAGTGATGCAAGTTCATATATACTGTCGAAAAGCGCATATAGTAGCTCAGAAGGTGACACAAATTGTAGGGACCGTCGGGTAGCCTAGTGGTTAAAGCGTTCGCTCGTCACGCCGAAGACCCGGGTTCGATTCCCGACATGGGCACAATTGGGGAACCCATTTCTGGTGTCCCCCGCCGTGATATTGCTGGAATATTGCTTAAAGCGGCGTAAAACTATACTCACTCACTCACTCACAAATTGTAATCTGCACGTGGTACCTTCAGAATCGGGAATGAGATCATGACACATTTGAGTTTAAATAAATATGTAATAAAACATATCATGAAAACAAAACTAGTGATATGTTTTCACAGCAACGACCTCTTAGACATTGGTTATTATTCTGAATTAAACAAGAGGAATTAAGTTGACACAGTCATAGTGGTATACATGATAAGTGTTTTCAATTTTAATTAAATGGAAAGGCCTAAAAACTAATTTGTTGACAAGTCATATCTCAGCAACACATGTTGTATTGTCTAGAATTGAAACGAACAATTATGGCACTGACACAATGGCTGGACGGAATGGCATTAAATGTGGTAACAATCTACAGTGTTAAAAATATGAATATTTTACACATAATATTTACATTAATCAAACAATTATTCATATAATAATAGAGTCAATGAATAGTCAATAAAATGTTATTTAACCACCCAGTTTTAGGTTTAAAATAAAGAAGACAATAACATCAGTATGTTTTTATGCCACTTTTAGCAATATTCCAGCAATATCGCGGCGGGGGACCACCAGAAATGGGCTTCACACATAGTACCCATGTCAGGAATCGAAACCTGGTCTTCGGCGTGACGAGCGAACGCTTTAACCACTAGACTACCCCACCGCCCAGAAGACAATAATATTCGTCAAATATGTGGCAGCGCCAATAAGTAACATGCCCTCGAATTAATGTTACTGTTTTCAAGGATGTCCAGAATGTTGCTTTGTTGAATATCTTGAAAGAGACCTGTCTCTGTACTTTAATCCAGAATAGTGTTGGAAGCTGGCAGAAATTCGGTGCATCCAAATAAGTATCCAAACCAGAGCTGGTACGTTGATTATAAACTAAAGTACTCACGGAAATGAAAAAAACTGTTTTTTCGATCTCATATTTTAAATAAATGCAGTTAACATACAAAATATATAAATATTCAAACAACTCAATTAGTACTAATTGGGCCTTGGCACAAATACAGTGTATCAAAGGTTTTTATGTCGTTTTACACGTAAAAGTGTGTAAAAATATGAACAAAACAGACTATTGTGAAACTGAGCATAACCAGGTGTTAGTAGATCAAGGTGATTGTCCATGACCTATGACACCTTGACGACAGGTGAAAACAGGTGCTTGAAACCCACGTGCATGTGATTTGTCAGTGGTTAGTGATTTGTGAGTGGCATTGTGGGATAGTGAATCATCGTCAAAATATCAGAACGTAAAAGTAACATATTCCCTTCTCAAACAACAACTTACATGTCATTATTATTATGTACATAAACAAAGCTGGTATTTTAATGGTTGTTTTGATAACTTTTTTCCAGGCTAATTTCCATAATGCCTATAGCCTGTTTCTGCCATGTCAATTTGGACTTAGTTTTATTTTTGAATGTTGAAAGTGGCTACAAATTACCTCCTGTAAAGTAAATTTTGTATTGAGCACTGAGATAAAACTAGCAAATCCAGACTAGTACTTTTCCAGTTGTTTTGTTATTTCGTATTTACATCTACGTAACGCTTTGTGTCGATTATTAAATCCAGCAAAACAGGTCGCAAAGATACATCGTCTCGCCCGCGTATGGACTTTCGAGAAGCTGTCCAATCCAGAAACTTCTTGAAAGATCAAGCCTGTCATGTCCGTGTGCAAAAAGGGCAGATAACTCTAGTTCTAGTACAAAACCATTCTGGAAAGCTCGACCGGTTGACCACGACAGCACTTGATATACCTTCTCTAGTTGTTTAATCATGTGCTGCCATTGACCAGTACTACAAATTGATACCCATCTGTTTCTACCGCCACTAATGTTACTCACACAAAACACCTGATTAATTTACTATGACAGGCGATAGCTTCATGATTGCATTGTATGTAATCATTCTATTCCAGGAGGACAGCAGTGCCCGTATGGAAAACCAGTCGTGAAGTGTTTTGTCAACCCATGCCAGTTTACCCGTTGCCCAATATTTCCTGCCGCACGCTGCGTGTATGTATTTCCGGTTGACTGATTGCACTGTATTATGGGTAAGGTATATTAATATGACGCTGTATCCCATGATGCTACATTGGTAACCTAGCCAACGGATATATTCTTTCTCACTTCCACAGAAAGCATGCTCATTCTGTCAGAATGGAATCTCACACAACCTAGTACCCATTGGAGTAAATAATTAGCCTAACACATACAAATATACCTTGCTCAAAGAGACCCCGCATAACCGGTGTTTCTTTGTAGAGTGGGTCCAAAGAGTTGAGTTGAGTTTAACGCCGCTTTTAACAGTATTCCAGTTATATCACGGCGTGTCAGCTTAATGTTGGAGAAAAGTCTAAAGTGATGCATGTCTTAGACGTCTACCACTTCGGTGAAACCAACGAGTACGGGTATGGTGCTGACGAACCTAGAAACATAATCGGGGCGAACCGGGATTCGAACCGACAGTCATAGGTTTCTGGCATGCCCAAGGGACGCAACTCTGCACAGCGAATCCGGCGCCTTAGACTACTGGGCCACCCCTGCCCCAAAACGCCTACGAAAACCTCATAACTTTTACCCCCCGAACATGGCAACCCAACCAGCTACTCTGGTAATGTTGTTATATGGAGCGTTGGAGGTATTATAGGATAGTTGTCGTTTTGAAGACCAAAGTCGGAAATGACAGAAACTGGAATTGTTGTTATTCAATGATAATTTAATCCCTCAAGAGGAATTGGTGTGAACTGTTAGCGAGTGCATGGTACAGTAAAATGCATAAGTGTACACGATTGAATAGACCATTGAATAGTGCGATATGTACATTTATGTTTCTCATGGTGGCCACTCCTAGGGACGACCATTTCCTATATTTCCCCCTCAACCATATCGAACTGATATTTCTCCATCATTGAATTCTTGGTCTTATTGTTTTGTTTATTAGTTCTTATACTTCAAAGGCGGGTCTATTGCCATAAATGTCATTACTCATTTAGCCTTGAGGTCGACACTCGCATTAATTTGGTAACGCATTAATTTCATAATGTACAGTATTCATGTATCATTAAACAACCTCGTGTTTCCAGACCCAATTACTGCGGAGGCTGCAATGCTGATTGGTACGTGAACAAACGTCGAGTGACCTGTTGGTGAAAATATAGCAGGTAAAATAAATCCGTTAGTGCGGACCCTGTTATACCGGAAACCCCCCGTTCTGTTGGCTGAGTCAATTCATGAAAATATTGGTAGCAGATGCTGCGAGAGCAAGGTGCTGACCATCTTCCCGAGGCAAGAGAGTTAACTCACTACAAAAGTCCAGTTTCTAGGCTGGTATAATGGAGTTACATTTTGTCTTGACTAACGAGTCTATGCATAGTCCAATCAAAATCGCACTCCTAAATCGAAATCCGGTTCGTATATTGTCATGCAGATTTCGGTCGATTGCAGGATTTGCAAAGCGTGTGCTACGCTAACTCGTTGTCAACAGATATTTTCTAAATCTTTCCATGTTTTTAATCAAGGTGCTCACGTGATTTGATGCAATTCGCGATGTAAGACTCATTTTATCACAATATATAGATCTTTATTATCGATCAGATCGTCTTGACTGGGCGCCGCCGTTTTGTTTGAAGCAAATGCAAGTGATACGAGAGCATGAATCTGATTGGTCCATAGGAGAGGCATAGAAGGGACATAACTCGTAATAGCCACTGGTGGCGCTACGATCGAGCCCAGGAAGTCCAGCCTTGTTCGGACTTTTATAGTCAGTTAACTCACTTGCCTCGGGAAGATGGGTGCTGACTGACGCTGAGGCGCCTGTCTACCTACAGAGGAGGAATAGACAACAGACAGTGCACGTCTCAATAACGCCGATACATACGATGACCTAGACGTCTAATGCAACCTCTATGGCTGCGTTTGTGTCAGTAACTAAGATCAGCGCCTCTCGAGGAGCCGTGGTGTCCTGCATGATGCGACGAGCGCCTTCCACCGACGCCTTTTCCAAATGTCTCACAGCACTTGAACCATGATATTATTTTTCGCTTCCGCAAGTCTAGATTTTTGACTTGTCTGAATCTCCGATCTCACTGGGGCTCCTTTTCAAGTTACATGTAGTTGTCAGTTTATATCACTGTTATATATTTTCAGTGACTAAGAGTTAGCCTTGCCTTTTCCCAACAAGACTCCTTGTCGCTTCAGATATAACTGGGGGGGGAGGGGGGCCCAGTCGTCTAAGGCGCCGCGATTCGCTGTGCAGAGTTGCGTCCCTTGGGCACGCCAGAAACCTATGATTGGTGGTTCAAATCCCAGTTCGCCCCGATTATGTTTCTAGGTTTGTCAGCACCATACCCGTGCTCGTGGGTTTCACCGAGGTGGTAAACGTCTGAGACCTGCATCACTTCGGGCTTCCTCCCACATTAAGCTGACACGCCGTGATATTTCGGAATACTGTTAAAAGCGGCGTTAAACCACACTCTTACTTCCTTTATGGTGCTTTCCCTCTGATGGTCTTCCTGGACAGATGCCCCAAGAGGCACCTTGTGACAGGCGCAAGGCCCACTCCAAGAAGTCGATGGACAAGGGATGGAACAGGGATCCCCAAGACAGGTCTTGTCTCCTCTCTGCCTGGAGTAGCACCTGTTGCGGTGGTCTTGTGGATGCTTTTACAGCGGTCTGCGCCTTTGCTGGCGCTTCCCTGGGGGCTACGCTCGCTGTGGCGCATCAACTGGCCTCCCGCTTCTTCAAGGCCTGCACTTTCGACCGGTGTGCTTCTTCCTCCGCCTTGGCCTCGTGTGGCGCCTCCCCTTGCGCTTGATGCTTCAAGACACGTGAGTGAACTGGTGTATCCCAAGACGTCAGAAGATGCCATTTTACTATCGGCGGGCTTTGCTGTGTCAAGGTACCTCGGGGAAAGGGTGACTATCATGGGATCATTCACCATTACCAGGAGCGGACTAGCTTAGAAGACGCCAACTGGAAGCAGTCAGTCCTGGGGGAGTTGTTACAACAACCTTGGTCGGCACCGGACAGTGACACGATGGCAATCCCATGGGAAGGTCTACATGCGTAATCGTTTCTACTGCAAGCTCTACTCAGACGCAAATGGTTTTGGTAGGGCCTTATTGGCCCCCACTCTGGATTTCCCGATACAGAAAGCGTTCAAGAATGCCCCGTCCTCGATATCGAACACTAAGCCATGTTACGCCCCCAGTCGTTTGTGTTGCAGGCAGGGCATCGCCAATGACTTCTACAACTGCGTCGTGGTTTGGTCACAGTGCTGTGACAGTGGCTAGTGCTGTCATAGTATCATACTGACCACAGTTCCAGCCATGACGCCTCCTGCTCAAGTTGCCCCGTTGCTAAGGTTCCACGTAAATACTTGGTGCAGTTGTTGACACTCCGGAGCCTGGCGCGCCTCTATTTCACCGTGCGCTTTGTTAAATGTCAGCCCTCCTCTTGAGGTTGCGCCTGAGGTGGCTCTTGCCCTTGTGATAGCGCCTCCCCTAGCGTCTACAGAGCCTCCCCTAACGTCTACAGAGCCTCCCCTAACGTCTACAGCGCCTCCCCTGGCGTCTACAGCGCCTCTATCTACATTTTGACTCTTACCGCATCTGCAGCATTAGAGAGATCATGCTTAGCACGCACGCAGATCCAGGACTTGATGAGGTCCCCATGGAAAAGTGCATTTAGGATTAAAGTGCCTGGGATTTCATCAGCAAACCACAGAACATTTATTCATTCACTGCCCACACTACAAAACACACAGAACAACACTCCAAAACTCACTAAACTCAAACCCCGAATTAACTTTATTGACAATTTTAAACCCACAAAAGAACACGTCTAACTTTAAAGCCCTTGGCAAATACCTAATCAAAACAGACTTAATCAATCGCATATAAACTCTCCCAAAATAAACATATTATTTAATAGGAAAAACTCACAAACTCCAACAACATCCACGCATCCCTTAATCTCTCCGCCCCCTGGCATACATTCCAAATCTCCAAATTTCAAAATTCCTCTATAAGCTTTTCCCTTAAAGCCCCCAATCGAATTGCAAAATACTTCCGTCCCTTTCGGCAAATACACTAAATGACCTGGCGGGCGCGTGTGCGACATACGCTCACAGTCGGAAAGCGCACGTAAAATCTCCAACTTAAGTAAGTAAGTAAGATCAGCAATTGAGCCAATTTACCACCAGGACAATGAAGACTTGAAAACTTGTCCTTATACCTAGTCGACCAGTGAAGATCGGGGCTAGAATAAAACCTCTCTTCATATGACCACCATTTCTAAACGCAATAATCTTTAGAAAGAGAATTTTTTATGCCAACTTCTTAATTATGAGGAACACAGCGTTTCGGAAGACATGCTTACTCCTTTATCATGTCACTTCACCTGAATGAAGGAGTAAGTTATATATATTCATAAACGTTGTGTTCCTCATTATAAAGAAGTTGCCATCCAAAATGTCTCTTCCTTATTTGTATCACTTGACAATAATCTTCGTTTTATTCAAATTATTTCATGCCAAGAATGTTTACAAAGATTTTCAAGTACAGTTATCATTATCTGCAGTAGTGAACACGTGTCGATTAATAGAAGAGGTAACAGTAATACATTGACCACCCTCTCTTTCCATAAGGTTTCATGACTTGTTTGAAAATATAATAAAAACTTGTGGACTTAAAACACACCCTTGACGGGTGCCAATGTTTAAAGGTTCTATCACAAGCAGATAAATTATTAAACATTAATGTCATTTTATCCAGAAAATTACCCTCAATACCAACTTCACACTGTGAATGCAGTAGACATGTCTACAGTAGACAGTAGAGAGTCAAATACTTTTGAAACGTCAATGAAGAGGTAGTAAAATCTGTCTCTTTTCTTACCAATGTATTTTTGAAGTCTGACCTGCAATGAAAACATGTTGTCAATAGTGAATCACTGAGCCCTAAACCAGCTTGTTGTTTATTAATAATATCATGATACTCACACCAGTTATGTAGACGGCTATTCAAAATAGACGTTAATACTCTACAGGTTGAGTCTATGAGAGAAATACCTCTTTTGGTGTTTGGGTAATTTTTACAGCCAGACTTGAAGAGAGAACATATAATACCCTTACCCCAACAACTGGGGTTGGTTTGTTGTTTAACGCCGCACTCAGCAATATTCCAGCTATATGACGGTGGTCTGTGAATAATCGAATCTGTACCAGACAATCCAGTGAGTGATATCATGAGCATCGATCCAAGCAATTGGAATACGATGACATGTATTAACCAAGTCAGCGAGCCTGACCACCCGATCCCGTTAGTCGCCTCTTACGACAAGCAAAGTCGCTATTTACGGAAAGCATGGGTTGCTGAAGACCTATTTGACAAGAGTCCCAGTACTCTAAACTTTCCAGGGGCGGTCGGGTAGCCTAGTGGTTAAAGCGTTTGCTCGTCACGCCGAAGACCCGGGTTCAATTCCCGACATGGGTACAATGTGTGAAGCCCATTTCTGGTGTCCCCCGCCGTGATATTGCTGGAATATTGCTAAAAGCGGCGTAAAACCATACTCACTCAATCACTCACTAAACTTTCCTATTTAGGACATAAGATCTAGTGTTATAAATGTCTAAACCATTTTAAATGTATCCCACGTTTCTTAAACGAGGCTGTTCTATGCAACATTTCTTTCACATGGGTAAACAGTGGGCATGGTAAATGGGACCGCTTTTGCAGTTTCCTGGAGGTTCTGCATTGAATTGCTTGTTTCATCTAAAGTTAAACACGTTGCAGGAATACAATGATACCTCGCTCACGCCCACCATTCTTTTCTTTTGCAGATGAACTGGATATGGACATCCTCATCACTAGAGTACAAGGCATGGTATTCATCAACGATGCTCATTAAACATTAAACTGTGTTTTGGTCGTTGTTTATGCTTTCTTAAGTGTGATACCACCAAACGTATGTAGCGACAGGGTTATCCAATGGTCGTAGCTCCTAAATTCCATGTGCAAAGTTACCCCCCTTAGTTACATCCGTGAGTTCGAATCCCCGGTTGGACCCGGTTATGATCCTTGGTCTGTTTGCATTATGTCTTTAGTAAACGTCCTTGACCAACATGGCCCGTGACGATCCGGGGTAGAATAGGTCTTTAGCAACCCATGCTTGCCGTAAAGGCGACTATGCTTATCGTAAAAGGCGACTTTGCTTATTGTAAGAGGCGTCTAATGGGATTGGGTGGTCAGGCTCGCTGACTTGGTTGAAGCAGGTCATCGGTCCCAATTGCGTGGATCGATGCTCATTATATCAATCACTGGTTTCCAACGTGGCGGGGATGGTGCTCGTTCGACCAGTCACTTTGTATCGACTGAGAGGGTGCGTAAACCCACTTCATTCAAAGTAATTTATATATACCAGGTTTTTAATCGTAGAATATTTGTTTGTTTTAATTTTGGCTAAACTTGTCCATAATCACCAGTAACTGAAGGGATGGTGTAAATCCTGCCGGGGTCCATGCAGGTAGCAAAGGTACTGTAAGTCCCCATGGTCCCCGGTATGGTGACCTACTTTTTGGTTGCTGGTGATATATAGCCCAATTTTACGTTGTATTGTCATGTATTGTATTATATGAATTTGTAGTTTTATGATCACTCACTAGTTTTAAACCGACATCTGTGATAATCTAGTACTTTTACTGTCCTTTGTCGACAGGTTTCTATTCTCAATTGATGTATTGTCTAATTTGTTATAGTCACTATATGGCTGAAATATTGCCGATGTGACTTTAAATATTAACTCACTCACTCACTCACTACTTTGTATCGAGATTAGATATTTATTCATCTGCAGCTAACAAACTAGATTTGTTTTATCTAAAAACTATTAGTCTGAATGGCTGTGTAACAAAAACACCTCTCAACAATGTATCAACAGACTGAAGCATAATTATATTTTTCAAGAATTTTCGGGGACAATTGTTTTTCCCGATACAATCCCAGCCTCTCTAAAGATGACTATTTTGGTCATAAGCAAATGTTGAGTGGAATATGAATGAGTTAATTGGGTTTAACGCCGCTTTAACAGTATTCTAGTTATATCACTGCGTGTCAACTTAATGTGGAGGAAAGTCCGAAATGATGCAGGTCTCAGACGTTTACCATTTTGGTGAAACCCACGAGCTCGGTTATGGTGCTGACAAACCTAAAACCATAATCGGGGCGGACCGGGATTCGAACCCACAATCATAAGTTCCTGGCATGCCCAAGGGACACAACTATGAACATCGAATTGCGGCGCCTCCAACGATCTGGCCAACCGTTGACCAAGGTGTAACCCAATTTAACCTCAGTTGACCAATGTTAACACACTTTCACTGATAACTACATTGTAGTATATGATATAAGTTTGGTTAGGTTTGTAGGATGTTTTAATCAACTTTTTTATGTTCTCATTCTATTCTCTACACCACATTTGTCGGCCATTTGGCAGCATATAAGGATTTCAAACTTTGTTTGTTTGTTTGCTTCTTGTTTAATCCCGCACTCAACAATATTCTAGCTATATTATGGCGGTCTATAATTTTTTTGAGTCTAGACCAGACAATCCAATGATTGACATCATGAGCACGCAGTTGAGATCGTTGACATGCATTAACCAAATCTGCGAATCTGACCAACCGAATAGCGAATATGTTAACGTATCTTGCCGTACCGATTTCATCCGTCTCAAACACATGCAAAGGCAAGTTAGTTGGTCATCTAAAAATACACGGGTACACGGGGGACAAGATAGAACTGGGATCTGCATCACTTTTGCCACTGGTGCGTCTATTTGGAACTGTCGTTGTGGATAAAATTAAATGCGTTGTTGATAAATTCATAATAGTTTGGTTCCGCCTTATTTGACTTCCCAAAGGAATCTAAATAGTCTATGCCTATAAGGAACTGCTTGTCGTTGGATTCTAACTTGATTCGGTGGTCAGGCTCGCTGACTTAGTTGAGACATGACCCCGTGTCCCAATTGCGTAGATCGATGCTCATGATATCAATCACTGGATTGTTTGATTGTTTGGATTATTTTGAGACCGCCGTCGTATAGCTGGAATGTTGGCGTCAAACAATAAACAAACATTTGTATCTATGATGTCAGAGTTATATTGCCAAATATATACAGATAATTATATTTTAGTTAGTAGGTGAGGGAATTGTTGTTTGAATGACCAGATTTAAACCTGTTCGGACTGCGAGTCTCTACCTGTTGCTACGATCTGCAAGCACAAGGTCCTAAGCCCGACAGAGACGGTCGGGTCATAGTGGAATCTTCTGTCGTGGACATGGTGTCTAGGGCTGGGTCGATCCCGGGCCGCGTCATGCAAAAAGACGTTAAAAGATTGTACTTGTTGTTACCCTGTCTGGCGCTCGGCATTAAGGGGCTAAAACAAGGACTGGTCGGCTCGGAGTCAGTATACTGTGTCTGATTGGGGTATTCATGTTAAACTGCGGCATGGTATCTCAGTGAGCTAGCACTATAAATCGGCATCAGTCCGGACTAGTACAAGCAGCCACACACACACATACACGTGCATGCACGTCGCTATATAAGTGCAATAATCTTGGACGCGACGTTAAACCCAATTTCACCTCACCTCACCTCTAGGGCTGGGACGAGTCCAAATTTACTACCCTGGTATCCACCCCTCTATTACCCGCCCCTACCCGGGTACCCGCTGTAGGTCTCAAGAGATAGGTACAAAATGTCCGATTGGAAATAGTTTGACTGTAGCCCTGGACAAAATGTATTTAGATACACGTATAAAACGATCTGGTCATGCATACACTGAAGTTGACTGAAGTTTTATCCGTATTCAAAAATATAAATGTCTGGGTTCATAGTCAGAAAGAAATGCGAACATTAGTGACTTGTAGTGTAACCATATAGTTGAAGATCATGTTTGTCATTAAACAATATATCACATGAGCAACCACGGGTTCGCGTAGTTCTGTGGGTACCCGGGTCCTTCTCAGTACCCACCCGACCCGAGTACCAGAGTTACCCGTCCCAGTCCTAAACTGGTGTCATAGAGGTATATCCACAAAACACTTTAAACAATTAAGCAAATTGTTTCGCTATGTCAAGTCAGTGAAACAAGCAGGGGTCCTGGACCTTTGGAAAACGGACGAGCTTGAGAAACGTACCTTGTATGTGAGGCTAAGAATTCATCAATCTACCCTCGTACATATAACAAAAATTCTTTGAAAGGCCATAGTAATTTAATTAATAGATGTTTATCCCCGTCTGCCTCACAACCAACCATTCCATCGCATCTTGAATATTACTCCCACCACCAGTCGAAATATCGTTTTGCCGCGTTTCTGTGATTATAATGCAATCAGCCAGGACAAATAAACAACTGTGACGGTTGTGTACGTCCGGGGGCTATAACAAAGTCGTGACTGTTGCAATCGCCTTCTCTCTGCCTGTTTCTAATGAGCGCCTGTCATTCCAATACCATGTCCGGTTTGGGAAAAGAAACTTTGGAAAAACAAGTTGTGAAATGCACTTGTCAGGATGTGTCATATCTTAAAGACATGTCTGTGTAAAGAAAACAAAACCTGCTTCTTAAACATGGTTGTCTCTCAATATCTTGAATGGCTGCTGATCGTGAACGAAATAATTAATTCATTTCACAATACCAGGTTTACACAAACATACATTTTGTTCCAAATTAGCTTCTGTGAAGGATGAGATGGTAATGCGATTGTTGCCATTCTAGCTCCTCATGACAGCTTGGGTTGTATACTCCCCAGGGAGCTGAGAATGAAAATTGAGTGCACTCTGATCCATTGGCCAGGGTTATAATAATGTGACGCTTTGAGGATGCTTTGGGTGTGGATTCGGTACACATTACTATTTTTATATAAAAAAATTCAGAAATAACTACCGTGTAGGGGTTGCAGAGCTTACTGGCAGGTTTTATAAACGACCCGTGAAGATCCGGGGTTAAAATAGGTCTTCAGCAACCCATGCTTGCCGTAAATGGCGACTATGCTTGTCGTAAGAGGCGACTAACAGGATCGGGTGGTCAGGCTCGCTGACTTGGTTGATACATGTCATCGTATTCCAATTGCGTGGATCGAGGCTCATGATGTCAGTCAACGGATTTTCTGGTCCAGACTCGATTATTTACAGACCACCGTCATATAGCTGGAATATTGCTGAGTGTGACGTTAAACAACAAACAAACAAACATTAATTCAAACACTTTTATACGTCTATGTGAACATGTGCCAGTCTCCATCATGTGTTGTTTTCATTTGTGACTTGCATAGCAGAGTGCATCTATTTTGGAGATGATTAAGGAAGACATTAAACACACGAAGGTGACATTGGGTGTCAACTGTGAAGGCGTACTTCAGACATAAGTGGGCCTTGGTAGATCTATCTCAGCTCTATTGTCATGAACAACCCGTGCAAAGTCAAATTATGGGGATGGTTTTGTCTTTACGGTATCAATACTGTTCAGTCTTAAAATGGTTAAAACCCTGTTTGGGATAGAACATATTAACTATACGCACGCTGTGTGTGGTGGGGTATTTTTAAACAGTATTTCTTGGTACAAATTATTAATTATTAAATTCCAAAGTATTTCTCATCTTAGCAATAAGTGAGTTTTTTCATAAATGTTTGGAATTAAATACTTACAGAAATACAAACGATAAATTTACAACTAAAACGGCTCAAGACACAGTAGCGTTGAATTCATATCCTCTTTTGAATTGAAATGTTTCATAATTTATAAGTCGCATGTCCCTTTCAATGACATTGCTCATCAACAAACAAGTCGACATACCCTGGGGCTACAGGAAACATGTTATATGTCAGCAGGTGGAAAAATATAAATGTCTTACGAGAGTATAA